CAGATTTATCCGAATAAAACATGTATATCTACAGAAAATCATGCGTATTTTTCCTTGAATTTTCAGAAAGTTTAGTTTACATTGCGGACAAAATTGTCTGAAAAACTTGGAGAAAATATGTATAATTTGCCGGTAAATTTAGTTTTTATTGACGGGAATACGGCAACGGCTGAAGGCTCACACGGCGTTCTTACTTAGCACGGATGTTTTAAGATGAAACGCCGTAAGTATCAACCTTCGAATCTTGCCGAATGTTCCCTGACAAAGAGTTCATTTTCGAAGAAAGTTATGCATATTTTGCTTACCACACTGGAAAAAAAAAACACATTGGATCTAGAGTCCAGACTCATGAAAACATTAACAAGAAAAAGGACTCTTGATTCAATCAGATTTAAGCTTAAATCAAAAGGAAATCCGCTCAAATTAAGAGGCTTGGTTCTTGATTTAAGCTTAAATCTGATTGAATCAAAAGTATTTTTTCTTGTCGATGTTTTTAAGAGTCTGACTCTAGAACCAATGTGTTTTTTTTTTTTCCAGGGCAGTTTATACATGCACAGAGGTTCAGACTGAGTGTCTACTGACATTTTCTTCGGAATTTCCTGATATTTTCCGAATTTGTTGCGAAAAATACATCGACATTCGTTCAATTTCACGAACCGGCATATCTGAAGAATTGAATTAAACGTTTCACTTGTTTTTGTTTTTTTTTTGGAAGGAATTTTATTTAAATAGACATAACTACTACGAGTATTTCCTTGTATCTATCTACGTGGCTTAAAACTAAAACTATACAAATTGCATTAATTTTACATGGTAACGTTAGATAATACGATAATTTGGACTGCATTTTGCAATTTGGAGCTATAAATTCTGTCTCATTTGAAGAAACACGTATGTGCATAAGAAAACTAATGGCACATACGTTGTCTTTAAACCGGGCCAGAATTTATAGTTCCAAATTGCAAAATGCAGTCCATTTATTGTTTCACTTGTGCATGTGCTAAACTTTATACGTTATTAGAAGCGGAAAAATCTGGAATCTCACAACTTTCAGCAGATTCTTGAAATTTTTCCCGGTGCGTTCAGATTGTCCTAAAACCGTCACCCCTCTAACCTTGTCTCTTAAGCTATTAAGGTGACGGTCAGACCGTCGACGTGATAATCGTTAAATGACAGATGGCGTGTCCATACCGGAGAAATGCGTGCTTGTGTTCAATCTCTTCCAAATTTAAAATTAAAACAGAGACATCAGAGTAAGTTCTTTTCTCTCCGTCTTCAGTGTCGCATGAAGTAGCGTCCTTTGCGATATATCGATTGATCTGTCATTTAAACCTACGGGAAAGGATCGATAAACGGGGCGTTTGCAATGAACACTTGAATAATCGATTCTTTGCCATAGGTTTAAAAGGGGACATATCGATAATCGACCATTCGCGAGGACGATAAACAGAAAATGGGAAGAGGGCGTGGATGGGAATGACGTCAATTTGACCACTATCACCTCCGTCATCTTCTCTGTGATAGCCTTCTTCTCGACCGAAAAGAATACTGCCGTGCTAAGAAAAAACGCCGTATGAACCTTCGGCCGTTGCCGAATCTTCTACGATAAAATATTAATTTTTGAGGAAAGTTATGTTTATTTTTCTTAAAAACTCTCAGATAATTTAGATTACGTAGGGTGTTCAAAAAGTTTTGCACACTTTCAGATTTTGAGCGAACGAAAGCAGCTTTCAATTTGCGATTTGTGTGTGCTTAAAGTAAACGTAATTACCAATGAAACAAGACCAAGGACAACTCTCTAGCTTAAAAAATGACAGAAATACAAGGTTTTGAAAATGACATGTAGGGTGACCGACCGCCTGCAGGATTTTTAGCTACAAATATGTTTGTCGAGAAAAAAAAAGTTAAATGATAATTGAGTGTTTTTGTTTTTTGTATTTCAATGTGTTTTTATTGTTAAAAGCTCAATTTAACAACCAAAATAATATATCCGTGCTTGGTCCACTCAGTAAATTTAACTTGAACACGAAATTCATCAAATTTCAGACACCTACAAATTCTCCATCGAATTTTGCTCCTTCTTTTAGGCCACGACCACAGCACGACTTTTGAGAAATCCGAGCAGCATTACAGAACATAATCGTCAGTTATCCGAAGGATAGCTCAACTGATTGCACATGCAAACGCAAGAAAAATAATTCTTGCGAAAATACAAGCCGGAGCGTAAATAAAAACTGCGATAGCAGGGGCATTCTTAGGCCTGTGTCACTGATACTAGCAACAAAGGAACTTCCTGCAGATCTATTCAGTCATATCACATTTATCTGACTCAACGAATTCCTGACAAGATGACGTCATGGCGCAACTGAAGGGAGCTCTATGGGAAAACTCTGGAGAAAACCAGAAAAATTACGGATCGAATGATGAGAATTTAGCGCAAGTTCTAGAATTTCTGCAATGAAGCTATATTTTATTGTAGTTGACGGAAAAATGAAAGTTAAGGACCACGGATGGCTACGCGGGATTACATTCATTAAAATACTGAGATGCTTGCTGAAAATCTACTTCAAAACCGTACCGGGTGGAGAGTGGGGCTACTAAGATCTGAAAAAAAATTCCATTTCCAAATTCCGGTCTTTTCTACTAAATTCCAGTTTTTTTGTATATACGCTTCTTCTTTTTGTCAATTATTATTTTTATTTAAAAAGTTTGAAAGGTTTCCCTGTATTGTGATAGTAATGGATTTACTAAGCTTCAGGGCATTTAGTATCCAGAGCCTCTATGAGCCCAGCTGGGCTATAAGGACCCAGGAATGAGTTTTAATTTATTTAGAAGTTTGAGGTGTCAAGAAAAGGGATGCATCAATTTTGCGGGTAAAAGAAACCAGAATATTAAATTTTGGGATATCAAGGCAAGAATTATACAGGTGTTAAGGGGATAGTAGAACAAAAATATTTATGAAACATAAGTTATGGAAATGAGGTGAACACAGCTCCTGTAAAAAAAAAAAAAAAAAAAATTAAATTTTAAGTTGCAATCTGCTTGCGAGGTTGCCAAATCGGCCTATTGACGAAAAGTGCATGTTCAATCCTCTTCAGAATGAAGTTCACGTCGCTCATCGATCAAGAAAGATAGATCTCTTCAGAGTGACGTCACAAGGATCAATAATTGACCAGGATGCACTAGCACTTATCGACAGACAAAGATTTTTATCTCGGCTAACAACGATTCTATCTCACGCGACCATGATGTAACCATGTTCATCCTTAGGTTGAGATTCTTATTCAGAGACGTTTCGCGGATTGTTAGCCCGGGTTCAGTGGCGTGGCGTGAATTGCGATGCATCGATTGTTATGCCATTTAAACCTATGGTAAAGGATCGATTGTTAAGGTGTTCGTTGCGAACACCCTGTTTATCGATCAATTCCATAGTTTTAAATGGTATAACAATCGATACATCGCAATTCATGCCGCGCCACCGCTCGGATTAATGCTTAAAAAAAGTGCCGGAGGAACGTTTCCGTGGTAAACTTGGACATAAAAGGCGAGCGTTTGCGGCTCATTGCGCGAGAAGGAGCTGGAAATAAATAGGAATGTTGTGAGAGCGAGTAGAAATATTGGCGCGAATCAGTAACAGCTCCAATGAACTGAGTCGCGGTTTCTAAATACCCTCCCTGGGACTGTGGTATTTTATTGCCGATACCATTTGAGGATCTTAACAGGTTTTTGCTCGAGCGAGAGTACAAGGGAAAATATTGTGGTCAGTTTCACCATACATATCGTTGTTTAAGTTGGAATACATATGCCTCGATTGCAAAGTTTAAAAATATCCGATTATGTTTCATTTTTCAAAGGGAAAAGTGACAAAAATATCTCTTTAGAAAGGGAGATGTTGCATGTGTGAAGAATTTGCGATTTGACTATTGATTCTTACGTAAAAGTTTGCGAGAAACACGATGGTGCCACTGGTTTTCTTTGAAATCAACTTCCAAGCTCAAAAAAGCTCTCAAGTTGAGGCCAAAATGGAGGGGATATCCCACGCTATCCTGAGAGTTCACCTCTACATCAAGACAAACTCTCCATGCAAAGATAGGGAGCAAATACATTGACAGGGCTGCCACTTTATTTGTGGACTCCAAAACTGAAAACACGGCATCACTGCTAATGTATTTGCTCCATATCTTTGCATGGAGAGTTTGTCTTGATGTAGAGGTGGACTCTCAGGGTAGGGTGGGATATCCCCTCCATTTTGGCCTCAACTTGAAAGCTTTTTTGAGCTTGGGAGTTGATTTCAGAGAAAACCAGTGTCACCGTCGTATTTCTCGAGAACTTTTACAGAAGAATCAGTAGCCAAATCGCAAATTCCTCACACATGCAACATCTCCATTGCAACTTTTCAAAAATATCTGATGAACTTTCATTTATAGGATATCAATGTAAAATCTATAAAGCCTTCCTAAAGAATGCAGCTCCTTCAAGAACGTTTATGAATACGACCCATTTCTCACAACGGGCCCGTTTTTTTAGGGTACCTTTATAAGACAGAGCATGATCACTGAGGGTTCCACACTACTTGATTGCGATTCAGCCATCTTAGGCTTTATAGAGCTCTTAGGGTCCGAAAACAATGACGGACGTCACATGCAGACCATTCCTAGGTTGCCTTTGTCAAAGGCGAATAGTAAAATCAGGGATTTTGTGAAATGCCTGCCTAGGATAACCCACGAGAGACCCGACAGTTAGTTCATCATTTACCCCCTTAGTCTACAAAAACCACCAATTTCAACCAATGGACCCGAGCAATGGGTCCATGCTCCCAATGTCTTTTTTATCGATCGCTTTGTCTATAAATATCGATAATCAGCCCACTGGGGTTAGTGGCCGCCATTTTTTTGGATCCCAAGAGCTCTATAAAACCCTGTGTCCATACTCTTCCTATAAGGAGACTTTAGATTTCCTTTCGAAATGAAGAGGACGAGAGGGGTTCTGCGGGGTCTTACCTTATCCTGGCACTGGCGGAGGTGGTTGACGAGGACGGTGCAGCGGTCGGGATCCTCGCGCCCGTCGAAGCTGTCCAAGGCGGCCGCCACGAAGTTAAGCGCCTCGTCCGCGTAGAAGAACTGCGCCAGCAAGGAAGTGTCGTCCTTCTGCAACAAAAAAAGATCGCCCAACCCTCGTTAGACCTTGTCCGCAGACCACGAGAAAGAAGGAAAAGAGAGAGAGGGAGAGAAATAAAAACACGCTCAATCACCGGAAACTCGCGGGAAATCGACCAAGTTGAGGAAATCATCCTCCGGTCCAACGGTGTGCGGCTCAGAAAAAATGCTGATTTCCATCGAAATGAACCCAACCTGATGTTAAGTGGATTGAAAGTTCGATGGATGAGAAAATACGTGGATGTCGCAGTCCATACACCAGCGGCGTGGCGTGCTTTGCGATATATCGACTGATATGCCATTTAAACCTATGGTAAAGAATCGATTATTAAGGTGTTCGCTGCGAACACCCTGTCTATCGATCCTTTTCCATAGGTTTAAATGGCATGTCAATCGATATATCGCAAAGCACGCCACGCCACTGCCATACACGGATTCAAAAAAAGTTTGGCGGTAACTCGACTCCTGATTAATACAGGGTGATCCAGAGTTAAACGGCCAGACTGCAGGAGCGTTTTCTATAGGTCAAAAGAAGACTTTTTCGTTGTATGTTTTTTCCGAAAGTGACCCCAGTCGGAGCTAAGGCCCCTCCAAATTTTCGGAGAGAAAATAGTTTTTCCTGAATTTTGGCATCGGTTGTGAACCAAATTTCATGAAAATTGGTATTCCCCTGTACTTTTATGTTCTGAATTCATAATAATCTTTAAAAAAAAATCGAAATCTTCATTAAAAGCGGGAGTTAGGGGGTGTTTCGGTTCCTGCAGTCTGGCCGTTAACCCTGGATCGTCCTGTACATGGTAAGAACTAGAGTACCTATTTATATAGAGTATGGCCATCAATTGGCCATTTCCTTCACGAAAAAACCTAACTATAATTCAATGTTGCCAAATTTTCCCTTACAAATGGCATTTTCACAAGGAGAATCTTGTGTATTTCTAATTATTTTCATAAAAACAGGATTGCGTGAATTTTATTGCAAATGTCAGTGAATTTTCTGCGTTTTACGAAGTAAATTCTTCAAAATTTCCGAAGGGGTCCGCACAGACATTCTCCTGTAAAAAGTAGAATTGCCTAGTTAATTTTGCCAATACCTGATGTGGCTTGGTTCCTTTATTCAGGAAGTCAATTAAAACAGGCTGGCAAAAAATCAGTACTTTTACAGTACTTTTGCAGTACGCTCCCAAGAAATTCAGTATCCCCTTATCAGAAAATTTCAGTTCTTTATCAGTACCTCCATTCGACGAAATTCGAAAAATTTCAAATATTTGAATTTCTCGCTCAAATTGCGACAAAAATGACGAAAAAATGAAAATAAAATTCCGGACTTTCTTGTGGAATTTGCGCACTTTTTTAGTACTTCCAAACCGCAATTAAAAAATCAGTGCTATTTCCGGACTTTCCGGAAATTTCGGAATTGCAGACACCCTGCATAATGTGTATATGCTAAAATTTTACCTTTTTAGATTCAGTTACGATACCACAAACTTGAAACGGCAGCACGAAGTTTTCGTTTCTACTCCGGTTTTCTTTTTCTCCTTTCTTTCTGTAATTTTGATTGATTTGTTAAAAATCCTGGAACCTTGATCTATAATTGAATCAGGTTATAGTAGGGGCCCATTTCAGGTTATGAATACAAAATCGCAAAAAATCGCCCCGGGTGCAACCTGGCAAGCCAACCGATTCGGAGAGCGCGCGCATCATGAGCCGCGATGCGAGGTTGCCAATCCCACCCAAAAAACCCAATTTGGCACCTATAAAAACCACATATCCTCGGCGGAGCGGCAACGGTGGGCGTCGCGACGCCCGGACCGCGTCGTCGGTCGTCAGCGAGAGTAAAAGTGATCCGCGGACGGAGACACACGAACGAACGAAAGAGAAAGTGTAATTAGTCATGAGAATGACTGCGCGCGGACCACGGTCGCAACCCCCCCCCTTCCCGCCCCCACTCGGGGGGGCCGTAAATTTAGACGCTCCCGGGTGACCCGAGCCTGCGCTTTTTTTTCCGGTGATTTTTTTTTCGCTCGCTCACGACCGACCGGAGACGTTTTGACGGGCAGAATTGCGAGAATGAGGGAACTTTCTGATATGACCCCCCCCCCTCCCAACATCCCGCCTACTCCATCACCGCGTGATGACGTCAGCTGCGCGTGACACTGAATCGTGTTTAGGCGGTTCGGGATGCACGGAAAAAATTAAATTGCTGATTTGACAATTCAATTGCTAAAAAAAAAGATTGCAATATTTCAACGTGGATTTTGCAACAAAAAAATGCTACTTTGACCACCCCCGTGGTTAAATCAGTTAAATTGTTGCAAATCAGTCAATTTGCGATCAGTTACTCTTCAGGCCACCAATGAAATTTTGTCGCAACTCGAGCGAGGATTTCAAAATTTCAAAAATTTTCTAATTTCGCCAAATAGAGGTATCTGCTGAAAAAGTACTGAATTCCTTGGGAACGTACAGAAAAATTACTGTAAAATCACTGATTTTTGGTCCACGGAAAAAATTAAATTGCTAATTTAACAATTCAATTGCAAAAACAGTGACTGCAATATTTCAACGTAGATTTTACAACAAAAAATGCTACTTTGACCACCCCCGTGGTTAAATTAGCTTACAATAGTGGTTATAGCAGCATTTTTGTGGTGTAAAATCTACGTTGAAATATTGCAGTCACTTTTTATGCAGTTGAATTGTTAAATCAGCAATTTAATTTTTACCGTGGACCAAAAATCAGTGATTTTACAGTAATTTTTCATTACGTTCCCAAGGAATTCAGTACTTTTTCAGTGGGGTACCTCTATTTGGCGAAATTCGAAAATTTTGAAAATTTGAAATCCTCGCTCGAGTTGCGACAAAATTTCATTGGTGGCCTGAAGAGTAACTGATCGCAAATCGAGATCTCGCGGGCACATTAGAGAAATTTCGAAAATTTGAAATTCTAGCTTGAAATGCGACAAAAATGACGCAGCCACGAAATTTCATTGGTTGCTTGAACAGTAACTGCACTGGAAAAAAAACCACATTGGATCTTGAGTCCAGACTCTAAAAAACATCGACAAGAAAAAGTAATATCGATTCAATCAAAATCTAGCTTGAATCAAGAACCAAGCCTCTTAATTTAAGCGGATTTCGTTTTGATTTAAGCAAAAATTCGATTGAATCAAGAGTATTTTTTCTTGTCAATGTTTTTAAGAGTCTGGACTCTAGATCCAATGTGCTTGTTTTTTCCAGTGTGACTGGTCCATCGTAATCTTGTAGGCAAATAATACTCTAGGAGTCAGCGCGCAGGGCATTGCATACTTTCCAGGTTTTATTGAAAAAAAAAAAAAAAAACGCGTGGTATGCAGAAAACAATGCCGGATCTTCTTGCGGAATTTCCGTACTTTTTCAGTACTTCTGGACCGCTCTTACAAATTCAGTGCAATATCCGAACTTTCCGTCTTTGTCTATTGCTTCGTCTATCAACGTAAATAATCAGCCCGCAGGATCCCCGGACGGAGAAACGCGGCGGCGTGACATGAGGGCGTCGGAGCGACACCCCCCCCCCCCCCCCCCCCCCNTAAGGTTATGTGTAACGGAGCAGGCCGACAACACACATCGATTAGGACACACTTTCTTTGTTTCAACTGAGATCACACAGTTTGCGGGCGAGGGAAAACCACTCCATTTCCTATGCACATTGAGAGAGAAAATGAAATCGTAAAAGACCGACAAACCTCTAGAGCGGCGAACTAGAACCACGCAGTAAATGTACACTTTAGAGAAACCTCGGGCAGTTTAAATCTAAAACATGTAGTATTGTAATCAGTGCTTAAATCCGACGGGAGCAATGTGCAGATTACTCCTGAACATTCCTCATTGGTGCTGGTGCCTAGATGATTTAGGTCGTGACCAGAGTTGACGCCTAGATGGACCGCGTTTAGCAGAAAGCAACCAAGCCACATCAACTACTGCCAAATTTAACTGGGCAATTTAATTTTTTACGAGAGAACATTTGTGCGGATTATATTGAACATTTTAAGGAATTTGCTTCGTATATACTACGGAGAAAATTCACTGAGATTTGCACAAAAATCCGCACAACCGTTTTCGTGTAAAAAATTAAATTGCCCAGTTAAATTTGGTGACAGCTTGATATAGAGGTGGACTCTCAGGGTAGCGTGGAATATGCCAGTCCATTACGGCCTCAACTTGAGAGCTTTTTCTGAGTTTTGGGGAGATGCTTTAAGAGAAAACCAGTGGCACCATCGTGTTTCTCGCGAACTTTTACAAAAGAATCAATAGTCAAATCGCAAATTCCTCACACATGCAACATCTCCATTTTCAAAACGATTGAAACGCCCTCATATAACTGAGTATGCAGTACGGGCGACGGTGGAATACGAATAGTTGCATCCTTGGGTTGTAACCTAAGTCGCACTAAGTTCGTCGCGCTTTGATCGTCAATGCAGACGCGAGAGTAATTTTTTCTTTTTTTCTTTTTTTTTTCTTTTTTTCTTTTCTTTTCTTATTTTTTCTGGGGCAAAACGATTGAATTTTCGGGAAGTAGATAAATAGGTTTTTCACGAATACAACATCAAACTTGAAATCAAAAAAACCAGAAATAATGCAAAAGAAGACAGCAAATAAAACCTGGGTTGATTGACAGAGGGTCTGACTGATCCTCGCCAAAAATCAATTATTTAACATACATTTGGACCGCGTTACGCAGAAACGAACCATGCCACATTAGCTATTGCCAAATTTAACGGGGCAATTTAATTTTTTACATGAAAACAGTTGTGCAGATTATTGTGCAAATTTCAGTGAATTTTTTGCACAGTGCGAAGAAAACATCTCAATATTTCCAAAGGAATCCCCACAAGCGTTCTCCAGTACAAAATTAAAGTGCTCAGTTAAATTTGGGTTTCTTTTTTTTTTTATACATAAATTTTATTGATATTAACCAATACAATAAATGTCACTACTACCTAATTAACCTAAGGTAT